CCCTTGGTGCCGCCCGATGGTGTTGGGGACCCCTTGGTGCCACCCTATGGCATTGAGAACCCCTTGGAGACACTCCATAGCATTGGTGACTCCTTGTTGCCACCCTAAAACATTGAGAACCCATTGGTGCCACCCCATGGCGTTGGGGACCCCTTGGTGCCACCCCATGGCGTTGGGGACCCCTTGGTGCCACCCCATGGCATTGAGAACCCCTTGTTAACATCCATGGCATTGAGAACCCCTTGTTGCCACCCCATAGTGTTGGGGACCTCTTGTTTCCACCCCATGGCATTGAGAACCCCTTGGTGTCACCCCATGGCATTGGCGACCCGTTGTTGCCACCTCATGACATTGAGAACCCCTTGGTGCCACCCCATAGCATTGGGGACCCCTTGTTACCACCCCATGGCATTGAGAACCCCCTGGTGCCATCCCATGGCATTGGTGACCCCTTGGTGCCACCCCATGGCATTGGGGACACCTTGGTGCCACCCCACGGCGTTGAAAAACCCCTGGTGCCACCCAATGGTGTTACTGACCCCTTGTTGCCACCCCATGGCGTTGGGGACCCCTTGTTGCTACCCCAAGGCATTGAAACCCCCTGGTGCCACCTCATGACATTCAGAACCCCTTGGTACCACCCCATGGCATTGAAGACCCCCTTGTTGCCACCCCATAGCACTGAGGACCCTTTGGTGCCACCTCATGACATTGAGAACCCCTTGTTGCCACCCCATGGCGTTGGGGACCCCTTGTTGCCACCCTATTGCATTGAGAACCCCTTGGAGACACTCCATAGTGTTGGTGACTCCTTGTTGCCACCCCACGACATTGGGAACCCGTTGGTGCCACCTCATGACATTGAGAACCCCTTGGTGCCACCCCAAGGCATTGAAAACCCCCTGGTGCCACCCCATGGCACTGGGGAGCCTTTGGTGCCACCCCATGGCATTGAAGACCCCTTGGTGCAACTCGATGGCGTTCGTGACCCGTTGTTGCCACCTCATGACATTGAGAACCCCTTGGTGCCACCCCATGGCATTGAAGACCCCTTGGTGCCACTCGATGGCGTTGGCGACCCCTTGTTGCCACCTCATGACATTGAGAACCCGTTGGTGCCACCCCATGGCATTGAGAACCCCTTGGTGCCACCTCATGACATTGAGAACCCCTTGTTGCCACCCCATGGCGTTGGGGACCTCTTGTTGCCACTCTTTAGCATTGGGAACCCCTTGTTAACATCCATGGCATTGAGAACTCCTTGGTGTCTCCCCATGGTGTTGGTGACCCGTTGTTGCCACCTCATGACATTCAGAACCCCTTGGTGCCACCCAATGGCATTGG